GAGAGACCTTCATGGGTTTTTCTTATCTTTTCTTATCTTTTCGTCTTCTAATAATCTATAGTAATTGAAGGTAATTGGCCTCGGAGGGCGCCATGTCTGCTCTCATGGAAGGACCGAAGCTCTCATTCTCGCTTCCTGTCGTTCTCGCTCTGGTTGATGTATCGCTTAGTTTTTTCACTATACATGCACATAAATGCACACACACACACACACACACATACATATATATATATACATATATATATATATATATATATATTATATATATATATATATATAATATATATATATATATATATATTATATATATATATATAGATATATATATATAATATATATATATATATATATATATATATATATATATATATATAATATATATATATATATATATATATAGAGAGAGAGAGAGAGAAAGAGAGAGAGAGAGAGAGAGAGAGAGAGAGAGAGAGAGAGAGAGAGAGAGAGAGAGAGAGAGAGAGAGACAGAGAGGATGGAGGCGAGAAGACCAACCAGCACATAAACCAACACCCCAAAAGGGATTCGGGAGAAGAAGAAAAACAAGCAAAACCGCCGCCGGAAACCGCCTTCCCGCAGACGAGGAGTCCCCGCCGCTGCATGCAAGTGGCGCTGTGCATCATCCGGGTCTTTGTCCAGCGGCTTTGTCCGGCGGCGAATTAAGGTCGGACAGAGACAATTGCTTTTTTTTTTATCCTTTTCTTTTTCATAGTCTCTTCTAGTTTTTTTTATTCACTGTCTCCTCTGCCTTTTTTTTTTTCTCTTTTTCTTATTCTTATTCTTCGGGAAACGGAAGGGTTAATGCGGCGTGGCGGAATAATTCTCAAAGGGTTAATGCGACTGTGTGTGGTGAGAGGTGTCTTTGTAAGGAGGTCTGGAGAGCAGGTCGGAAGGCGGGAAGCGAGGAAATAGATGTAGAAGAAGGAGGAAGAGATAGATAAGGAGAAAGAAAGAGGAGAGAGGGGAGGTAAAGAGGGATAGGATAAGGAGAAAAAAGGGGAGAGGGAGGAAAGATGATAGAAGGAGAGAGAGAAGATGGAAGGGGAGATATAGGAGAAAGAGGGGAGAGGAGGAAGAGGGATAGTTAAGGCGAGAGAAGATGGAAAGATGGAAGAGGGATAAATAGCGAGATAAAGGGGGGAGGAGGAAGAGAGATAGATAGCGAGAATAAAGGGGGAAGGAGGAAGAGGGATGGATAGGGAGAAAAAGGGGGAAAGAGGAAGAGAGATAGAAGGGAGAAGAAGATGGAAAGAGGAAGAGGAATAGATAGCGAGAATAAAGGGGAGAAGGAAAGAGGGATAGATAGGGGAAAGAGAATAAATAAAAAGAATGAAAGACAGGGTAGGATATAAGGAAAAATGAAGTAGGTAGGGCGATAAGGTAAATGAATAGAAGAAAGGAAGATAAGATGAAGAAGAGAGACCGACAGGATAGATATACGAGAGAGAGAGAGAGAGAGAGAGAGAAGACAAAAGGAAGAAGTGAAAGAGAATGAGAGCGAAGCGGGTCCAGCAGCCTGTTGCACACTCAATTGCAAGACCCCTCTCCCCCTCCCCCCGCCCACCAGAAACAACCCGATTTCACGCCCAATCGTCGATGCTCCCTCCCCCCCTCTCCTCCTACCCTCCCCCCCCTCCTCTCCTATCTTCTCCCTTCCCTATTTCATTTTTTCTTCCTTTTCCCTTTTGTCTCCCTCCTCTCCTACCCTTTCTACCTTTTCCTTCTCTATTCCCTTCCTCTTTTCTTGCTTGTCCCTTTCTCCTGATTCTTCTAATCGCTCTTTCCTTCCTTTCTCTCTCCGTCTAGATTTCCTCCTCCTCCTTCTCTCTCATTTTTCTCCCTCTTTTCTCCTCACCAAATGCTTCATCATCCTTCCTTCCTCTCCTTTCACCCTCTTTATCCAATATCGTCCCTCTTCTCTCCCTTCTCCCTCTTTTCATTACTCTCATCCTTCTTTTCTCTTCCCCTTTCCTTTCTCTACTTCTTTTTCCTCTTCCTATCTCCGCTCTCTCTTTCCTCCCCCACCCCTCTTCCTCTCCCACCCCCTCTTCTCCTCCACTTCTCTCTCTCTCTTCCCCTTCCTATTACTTCCCCACCCCCCTTTTTTCCTCAGATCTCCCCCCTCCCCATTACCCCCCTCCCTACCTCTCCCCCCTCCCCCTCCTCCACTCGCCCCCTCCCCCTATTATCCTCCCCCCTCCCCTCCCTACACTCCCCACCTCCCCCCCTATTACCTCCCCCCCCCCTACACTCTCCCCGCTCCCCCCACCCCTATTATCCTCCCCCTCCCCTCCCTACACTCTCCCACCTCCCCCTCCCTACACTCCCCCACCTCCTCCCTCCCCCTCCCCTCCTACACTCTCCCCACCTCCCCACCCCCTAATATCCTCCCCCCTCGCCACTCTCCCAGCTCCTCCCCCCCCCCTCCCCCCCCCACTCCCCCTCCTCCCCTCCCCTCCCCCGCCTGCAAGCAATCCTACGCCACGAGGGTTCAATTGCAAGCACAGCCGCCGCCTTCCTTTCTGTCTGGGGATGACAAGGCCAACTCCAGTTCAGCGCTTGTGAATGCAAGCAGGAAAACAAGCCTTTTGGGAGCCAGGACAAGCAGGAAGGTGAATTTGAAGAAGGAAATGGACGGTTTCATTTTTTTTTTTTTTTTTTTTTTTTTTTTTTTTTGTATATTCGTATTTATCATTGTAGATATGGGGACTGACTTACGTACACGGAGAGACACGTTCAAATAGGCACATACACGAAACATACATACATGCACACACACACAAAAAAAAACAAAAAAACACCGACACATAGAAAAACACACACATACACAAACACGAATACGCACTCACAAACGAAACAGACACACGCACACAAACACGCACACAAACCCATACACGCTTACACACATGATCACATACTCTTCAGCGGCACCTAGTTGTTTTATCTTTTATTTATTATCTTTTATCTTTCTTCTTTTGTCTTTTACCTATCTTCTTTTATCTTTTATCTATCATCTTTCATCTTTTATTTATTTTCTTTTATCTATTCCTTTATCTTTTATCTTCCTTCTTTTATCGTATTCATATTTAATTTCGTATAATGAGGATAATGATAATGAAAGTAATGATAGATATGGTAATTTTTTTGTAATCATCATTATTATTGTTGTTGTTATTGATATTGTTATTATAATTGTAGTTGCAATTATTATCATAATAATTATTATTATCATTATTACCATTATTACTATCATTATTATTACTACTACTAGTACTACTACTATTATTATTATTATCACTATTATCATTATCCTTACTATCATTATCGTCAGAGAGAGAGAGAAACAGAGAGAGAGAGAGAGGAGAGAGAGAGAGAGAGAGAGAGAGAGAGAGAGAGAGAGAGAGAGAGAGAGAGAGAGAAGAGAGAGAGAGAGAGAGAGAGAGAGAGAGAGAGAAGAGAGAAGGAGAGAGACAGAGGAGAGAGAGAGAGAGAGAGAGAGAGAGAGAGAGAGAGAGGAAGAGAGACAGAGAGAGAGAGAGAGAGAGAGAGAGAGAGAGAGAGAGAGAGAGAGAGAGAGAGAGAGAGAGGAGAGAGAGAGAGAGAGAGAGAGAGAGACAGAAAGAGAGAGAGAGAGACAGGAGAAATAGAGAGAGAGAGAGAAAGAAGGAAAGACAGAGAGACAGAAAGAGAGAACGAAAGACAGAAAGAAAGACAGACAGACACACACAGACCGAGTCCCATCTCTCCACAGACTTGAGGCAACAGGTGCGAACGACAAAAACCGCAAGATGACGCCACATCTCTCGAACGGGGAATTGCACACTTGCAACGAGAACAGCCCCCATTTGCCTTGTCCATACGAGGGGCTTCAAGCCTAAGGTTCACGAGAGCAATATTGCTTGTTATATGGGCATGTCAGTTGCCAAATATGTGGGTGTTTTGATATTAGTCTGTGTGTGTATGTGTGTGTGCGTCATGCTAGAAGTACAAGGTTTGCTCTTACGGACATATATATGCATGTACGTTTATATATGCTCATGTACACGATGGGCACATGCATATCTATTTATCTATCCACACACACAACACACACACACACACACACACACCACACACACACACAACACACACACAATACATAGACATACACCACACACAACACACAGACACACACACACACACACACACACACACACACACACAGACACACAGACACACACACACACACACACACATATATATATATATATTATATATATACTATATATATATATATATAATATATATATAATATATATATATATATATATATAAATAAGTGTATATACATAACATTTCACACACACACACAAACCGCTGTTCAGGGTTGAATTGGGCAGCAGCTTGGTCAGGGAAGATCCCACCGGTCTGCGGGGCTTGGACATCAGCGGAAGGGAAAAGAGAATGCGCGCTGCCTTTCTAATCCCATTTGATGGCCAGTGTCCCACCGATGCAGAGAAGAGGGCGTTGTTGTTGTTGCCTGGGACATAGCGTAGTTTATGTTGAGACGGACGCTTAGTAACACTGGCACCTGTTTCACCAAATACTGATTGTCACAGGAGGCTCATGCCAAGAACGAAAAATTCACTGTCCAGGGCATGATCTGGAAATGGGCGAAGGACTACCTATACCTCAGTATATGGAAAGGTTCACACACTCACTTACAAAAGGAGATCCAGTACCTGCTTCGCCAAACAAGGAAAAGACGTCATGAATAATGACCGGGAGACAT